TATAAACTGAACTGACAGTAACTGCTGCATAACTTGCTCCACAGTGTCCTTCAGTGAGCTCTCAATGACATTTGGAGTCTGCAGATAGTCAAATTTTCAAGTTTTGGAACCACAACTGAGGTTGAATAAGTTGTTGGTTTATTTTGCACAGAGTAAATCCAAGACCCCTCCTGATCTGTCCAATCTGTGCCCAGTTTTGTGGTGGGAGGTAAGGAAACTGGATGTTTTCCTTTAATGGGCTTTTTAAAGGTAAAGTAGGTAAAATATCAGGATACATGAAAAATAGACTGCTTTTAATTCTACTGTAAGTTTTTATGTGGAAGAGAAAAGTAACAAAGACCTCAGCCATTAATTGTCCCTGTAAATATGAACAACATACTTGTTCTCTCCTTGCTTTAGATTTGCTATTTAATGACAGCAAGAGATGAAATTTGATAAAATACTGATCTCCATTTTTTTCTTATAAATCTTCAGATTTCTACAATTCTGAATACTGATTACTTACTCTGAGTAGTTCTTCAACTTACCAAATTTATTTTGAAAAAAGTTTAATGATTGTACTATATTAATTTGACATTAACTTTTACAAATATGTTTCTGATTTTTTCTTTTTTTGGTTGGGTGGATTTTACTGTTCTCTATATTTGGAATGTAAAAAGGGTTTCCTTCACTTTTGTTATTACTTGTTTAGAAATAGTTTCTGGGTCATAGCTTTGTCTTACAGCTAAGCTTTTGCTATATAACCTAATAGTTTTGATTACATAGTAGCATTAGTCACTAAATATTTTGTAACTGCAATTTTAAAATTAATTTAAACTAAAATTTTAGGTGAATGTTTTTAATTATAAATGAAGAAACAAAAGTTAATAAAACATGTTTAAAGAATTAGTGACTTCTTTGGCATTATTGTTTGCAGATGTTGACAGTTTTTTCCAAATATAAATTAGTGAAATCTAAGTGGTGACTTGTTTTTTTCAAAGATAATATTTTCTATATGTTTGTATTATTCTTTGGAACATATAATTGAAGTACCTGTAGCTGTTATTCCAGGGGGTATTTAAGTTACAAGGATCAGAGCTGGATCCTCTCATCTTCCTATGTCTTCTCTATGTAATACCCTGAGAAATAGACTATTGAAACAGTCTTTTATTGGTGATGTTGTGGAGCTGATTGAGAGATGCTGACACTTTTGAGCACAGTCCTATTCTCTTTTCTTTCTTAGAAAGTGTGACTGTTTCCTTTCCAGTTGATGTTAGGTTTTCTGCCTGGCCTGCTTTGGCTAATGAATTGTGAGAAAATAGCATGTATGCCACATGTTTTCATGGTTTATTTTTGTTTGTTTGTTTTACTATGAGAAGGAACTCTATCCTTCCTTAGGACCCAAATGACCAAAACTGTGAAAATTATTTAAACTTGATCTATAGCCTAGAGTAAAGACATCATAGTAATACACAGACTTTATGTGATCAAATAAGTTTGAAAGCTAAAAATTGTGGACATGCTTGTTTTGCAACATCATCATATTATATCCCAAAGAAACCAAAAACCTAACAACATAAAATCAGTTGGAGTTATCAATTCTTTCTTCCAGGATTATAAGTAAAACAAACACCCGAATTGTTGATTTCCTTGTATTTCAATAAATTTAACATTTTATTTTCAAGTAAAAAATTCTTTAACCTTTGTATAAATCATTTGTCTAATACTAATGTCTTATAAGCAGTTTTGTTTCTTAAATGAGGAGTATATTCACAGTCAGAATTTGGCAAATCTTACCTAAATGGGGTAAAGTAGACCACTTAGAGTTTAATTTACATTGGAATTGTTAATTCAGGCTTGCATATATTCCTGCACTGTCTACTCTGCAGGAGTTTCTGTTCTGCGTATGAGCAATATTAAGAAAGACCCCTGGGCATGTTTGCACACACCTGTAGTCTTAGGCGGAAGGTAGAGCAGACTTCATGGCCAACTATATCAAAATAAAACAGAAAAGAAACAGATTTTATGTCTTATGTTAAGGAAATTTACTGTCTATTAAATGCCAAAACTAAACACTAGTAAGTTGTAGAAAGAGAAAATAGCAAAGTACTTGATACTACCAGGTATAGAAGGAATTGTTTCACTCATGTGTGATATAAAACATGGTACCAGGTGAAGTCAAGAAATGGGGGAACTAAGGAAAAAGTGCTTTGACTACAGGGTTCAGAAGAATTTTGGTAAAGACAAAATCATAAGTATGAAATAGAATTCTTACATGATTCCCATTCTCTAAAAGTAATGCATGCATTTAATTTATGTATCAAATTCTATCATTTTAAATTCATTTTGATGTTAGTTAATAGATTTTTCTGAAAGGGTTACCAAATCCTGACATTAATTAAGAATAACACATTTAATTAATAATTGAGTAGTTCTAAACAGATGACTTTGACTTTGCTGCAGTGTGTTGATCTGCACTTGATGGAAGAATCTGATCATTTATGGCCTGCAGTTTTGAAAGCAAATAGCAAGAATGTCTTGACCTGACTTTGTTACTGACAGTACCTTACATCATGGTGCTTTAAGAAGTAGATAATAATTGATTTACAAAGTGGCCTGACTTTAAAATTAATTCCATGAAAATTAATTAATGAAAATATTTTCTGATTTAATTGGGTAATCGGAAAAAAAAAAGAAAAAACAAGGTTTGAGCTGCAGTACTGTTAAAGTCCTGTCATACAGATAATTTCACACTTAAAATATAACATTCAAAGAATAATTTTATTAGATTAGCAATAAAATGTAGTTGATATGGATAACTCAGTGAATTTAAGAATGATTTTTATGATTATCACGTAAGTTGCATTATTCTCTGTGCTGTATATTTCACGTTAGAAACAGTGTACAAAACAAAGCCGTTTGTTAGACATAATTTGTTTAACTTGATTATGTACAACTGATATTTATAGGTACAAATTTTAAATCTTTGTATGATATTTTCTGCATTCTCCTATTATAATAGTTATATATGGGCAAATCATGGTGTTCTGTGAAGCTTTTACATATTATTTTCTAATTATTTTCTTATAAATTCTTTGAATGATAAAAATACATATTCATAAGATGCCTTTTTAATGATATTAAGCTCTCATTTAATTGAATATTTTGTTGTTTCTATTTAAGTATAAATGTAATGGTCACATACCTAAGAAAAAATAGATATTAATTTGAAACCTGGGCATTTTTTTTTATTTGGAAAGCTATGCCTGAATACAGAGTAAATTCTTGTGTCTTATAAACAATACAGCCTTTTGTAATCTATGACATGAAAAATAGCCTCCTATGAAAGCTTTCAATCCTTTTCCACACATTGATCCCACAAATTGGGGGCTATTGGCAACATACTAGACCTACACCAACTTGTTACTTAGAAAATGGAGTCTTCAGCTATCTAATGGAATAAGGAGGTTGAGTTCATGCATGAGAAATGCTTCACTTACGTTTATTAGTGGAAAAAATCAGCAATTGTTATCTACTAAGATTTATTTGGTAACCACTGGACTCACTAAATATTCATCTTAATGTTGTTGAATTGCAGTTTATTAATTATGTAGTATATACTTTCATAGATAACTCTTTAATTGATATTTTTCTTCTTTTTTAGGTCACTTTTCACGTAGAGCCATATAGCAATCGAAATGATCAAAACATGTATACAAATGTCAAGTATATTATAGACAAGTGAGTTTCTTCAGTGCTCATTGTTATACTGTATGATCTGAAGCTAATTTCTATTACAAGTACATTGAAATGATATCTGAGAGTTGTTTTATAATCAGTACCTAAAAATCGAAGAACATTTTCAGGTTTCTTACAGTTCAGTGTTTGCATGAGTAAAGGTTGCTACGTTAGCTATTTTTATATGCCTTAAAGGCTATTTATTATGATTTCCTTTTATGTTCATTTTACATTTCTGTTTTTCAAATCTATGAATATACATTTTGTCTTTTAAAGGAAGGTTCAGATGAAATGTGGTCTTATTTCATAACAATGTTTGCATATCTGTCTTCATGTATATCTAGAATGACTAAATAGTAATTAATTTCATTCTGATAAAGTATTTTACAGATAAGATTCTCTGATGTATTTCATTTTACAAAGAATCATCTCAGCAACAAATGTACACCTGTCACTGATAAGATAAACTGGTTTTTCCATTTCCATAATAGACTTTTATAGCTTTAGTCACCAATTGTTAACTTTGGCATGAGGTAATTAATCACCAGTTTGATAGTATACCAGTGTATCATAATGTATAAAATTAAAAGTATGTTTGCATTAGCATTATATTTGCATGAGTGACTCACTGAAGATTGGGAACAATGCTCAAGCTTCATGAATCATTTTCAGTTTCCATGCATAGTTTTATTGTGACATATACTGTGAGTGTTCATCTCACTTTTTTAATGTGTCTCTATTGTAGATATGGAAGCCATCCAGCCTTTTATAGGTACAAGACAAGGACTGGGCATTCTCTGCCTATGTTTTATATCTATGATTCCTATATCACAAAGCCTAATGTGTGGGCCAATCTGTTAACACCTTCAGGATCTCAGAGTGTTCGCAATTCTCCATATGATGGATTGTTTATTGCACTTCTAGTAGAAGAAAAGCATAAAAATGATATTCTTCAAAGTGGTTTTGATGGAATTTACACATATTTTGCCACAAATGGCTTTACATATGGCTCATCACATCAGAATTGGGGTAACCTGAAATCATTTTGTGATAAGAACAACTTGATATTTATCCCAAGTGTAGGCCCAGGATACATAGATACAAGCATTCGTCCATGGAACACTCAGAACACTAGGAACCGCATCAATGGGAAGTATTATGAAGTTGGTCTAAGTGCTGCACTCCAGACACACCCCAATTTAATTTCTATCACCTCTTTCAACGAGTGGCATGAAGGAACTCAAATTGAAAAGGCTGTCCCCAAAAGAACCACTACCACAGTATATCTGGATTACCGGCCTCATAAGCCAAGTTATTATCTAGAACTAACTCGAAAATGGTCTGAAAAATACAGTAAGGAAAGAAAGACGTATGCATTAGATCAACAGCTGCCTACTTCATAATGTCTCACTTATAGTTTATCAAATCACCCAACTTCAGTAAACGTCCTGTGTTTTGAGTTATGGAAATAAAAACTGTCAAATTCAATGTGCACTTGCTACTGTTACCTTTATCAACTATTTCATTTTTCCTTTTTAAAAGATGATATTACTTGTCCTGCAGTGGACAATACTGTACAAAGAAAACATCTGAGGAGAGAGATTGTGTCTGTAACATTCCTCATGGCATAATTTTCTGAACTTCTGGCTGCAATTAAAGTACTAATGGGATGGGCCTTTAGGTTTTTGTTTCACAGTAGAGAAAATGCTTGCATTAGATAAAGCAGCTAGGATACAGGTAAGTCCTACTTGTATTTGGGTTCAAAGACAGAAGTGTGTGCATGCTAGGTACATCTGACAACAGAAATACAGAATAAAGGACAGTAGATGGTTGTGCTTCATTTCTGAACTCTTCAGTGACTGAAATTTATTAGTATTTACATTATAGCTGGCTTTCCCTAGTGATCAAATTCACTTCTCAAGTTTCTTTTGAGTACAAACTTGTTTAAATAACAGGCTATTTTATTGTTATATTTCTCTGTTCTACCTGGCTTTGGCATCATCACTTGAAGAATCAGGTGCCTGTGGTTCAGAGTACTTTTGCATGTTTAATACCCCTAGTTTGTTCTGCTGAATTAAAGACTAGAAACATTAGGAGGTAGCTTGGTAAATGTTAGTGACTGCTTCTCAGCTATGAGGAAAACCCTTGCTTCTCAGTCATCATAAGGTTTATCCAGTTCACATACTCTGTTTTTAGAACATCTTGTTAAGTCTTTTTAGGTCTCCTTTTATTATTCATATGAATTTTAAATGTTCACCAGAGACTACTGTAATGAATAACAAAGGATAATGTTAATATTAGAAATGTTTTCCTTTTAATTTACTTTTACCATAAATAATACAGAAAATTTATCACTTAAACTACAGATAACAATTATTTTTAAAGTAACACCATATTTTTTAGTTATGTATATGAAAGTCTTAAACTTTTCCACTGTCTATTGGGTTAAAAGAGGAAAATGTCAGTGATCCATAGCTGTCATGTGGTTACAAATTGATAACTCTTATGCTAAAAATAAATTATTTTAAAAATGAGAAATAGTAAAAATCTACTGAATTCAATATCTACAATTGCAAAAGCAGCTAGTCTACCTAATTTTACACAGATGTTATCTCTTAATTCTACTGAGTGAATCAGTTGAGTCTTGTTAATAAATTATGTATGCCAATCGCCAGAGCATACAGATATTCAGATACAGATTAGTTCTGGAATTGATCATAAAATACATAGCAGAGGAAACATTTTTACATAAAGGGAGACTGAAGAGTGAGTACAGTGCTTGCTATGCAAGCATGAGGACCTGGGTCTCAGCACCCAGAATTCACATAAAGATGAGCTCTCTAGCGTACATGTTCTAATCCACTGCTTCTGCAGAGAGCTAGACCTTATAGACAGGCAAGATCCCCAAAGTTCTTGAGCCAGCTAACCTGCTGTAGACAGCAGCAAACGAGATCTTGTCTCAAAAATGGTGGAAGGCAAGGATCAACACACAAGGTGGTTCTCTGACATGGACAGCCACCCTGTCACATTTAGTCTCTCACTTACTTGTGAATCTTTGCAGACTTTGCAGACTCGCACATACAAAAAAAAAAAAAAAAAAAAAAAAAAAAAGTTGTAGCTCATTTTTTAAATAATGCCTTTAAAATAAAATACTTTTAAAGCATTATACTAACCTTGCTTATATAATTAAAATTTTCTATTGATCAGAGAATTATTAGGTCATAAAATTATGAGAATAATAATCTGATATTTTCCAGGAGAAATTCTAAGAAAAAAATAGTAAAATTTAATATGACCAAGTATCTTCATTGAAATAAACAGAAATATAACCTGTAAATTTTTTCTTTGCTACTACATTAAAAATGAACTATCAGTACATACATAGTATTTTATAGCATGTTATTTTCTTAATTTCTTATGTTGCATTTTATATTTGAGTCCATGACAGAAAATGAATTGTGAAACAATTCAGAGATTAAGGAAAAGTCTGCAAAAATAAGGTCAAACAACTGTCAGCAACAGTTCAACTCTGACTGACTTCCGACAATTCACTCTAGCTCCTGCTGCTGCCAGTCCATATCCACCCATCAACAGCAGTCAGTCAGAGTTTAAATTTAAAGAAGGGTTCTCTTTTCATCCTTACAGAATGACTCTCTAACAAATGACTGAAGTCTCTTTTCATAAAACTTCCTAGTTGATAAATAACCAGCGTCTCCCCTCTGGTTTCCACAACCAAATATCCAACCAGCTAAGATCAGAAATACTCTGTGAGGGGCCGGGGGAATCCATTTGTATATAGCAAGCATGTTCGGGGTGTTTCTATCCTGTGAGCCATACTGTATAACCACAATGTACGTTTTTCTGGGTATTGTAAATAAGCTGAGAGGATTTAAAGTGTACCTGAGGATTAATCTAGGGTATGTTCAAATACTATTCCACTTTTTCAGCCATTTTTATCTCTGGGTCCTGGGCCAGTTCCACACTAGTACCGAGAGTGGCTATATTAGCAATTATTACTAATGATTGCTAGAGGAATGCCTTCAGCACCCTCCCCTCAAACCAGGGTGTTTCTTATGGCTACCTCTGCTGTCTGACTGGAAACACAGCTGGGATTGCAATGATCACATGTAAATTTAATGAAGTGATACAGTTCTTATTTTTAAATATCTGAATGCTTGAATTCAGTAAACTTAAAGAGGTATAAGATGTGTGATGTTTGGATTATAATCAATTCATTTATAAGGTATTTATGGATTAACCCATCTAATTGTTTACCTTTTAGAGAAGAATCAGAACTTTTTCAGCTTTTAAGAAATAATTGTAAAAGGCTGCTCTTATTAATATTTATCTGAGTTTTATATTAATTTGTTTATTTTGTATTATCTATGTGTATGATTTGGAAAATGATTTGTTATATGTTACTTTTGTTCAATAAAAATAAATGAAAATAAATAATGTTCTTAACCGAAAATCTGTTTGTCGTTAACTTGTGATAGGTTTTATTTAATTTCTTATTAATATAGGAAAGGTAGTATTTGGACCATATGAGATGGAGCACTTCCAAGTTAGTTGCCTCACATTTACATGAATGCCAATTTTTGTTTAATTGTGGATAATTAAATTTAAATTTTTAAAAATTAAATTTTATTACAAAATTTTAAAAAGTTAATTATATTATACAACTTAAAATTAAACAAAAAGATTATAAAATTCTTAAATTTTTATTACAAAATTTAAAAATTGAGAATTCTGTAATTTTTGCTTCGGTATAATTATACATTACCTCTGATGAAAACTAATTTAAAATAGTGAAATAACAAGCATCCAGAGAATGACCACATCCATAGCCATGAACTTTGTAAACTGGTGACATTTACTCAGTTTAATAATGATGACTTCCGGAGCACTAGAAGAATAAGCAACAGTCCTTTAAAATTGTCAAAATATCACAGCTGTAGTAAACCAACTTGTTTCCTTAATTTCTTTTTCGCATAATTCATGACTGCCATGTAGAAATGTGCTGATTTTGTATGTTAATATCAGGCCACACAACTGTGCTTGATTTATGGATTCCAGCAGTTTTGGGTAGAATTAGGAGGAAAGGAGTCACCTCTAAACATATGATCATTTCATATGTCCACAGTGGCAATTTCATTTCCAACTTGCATATGCTTTTGTTTCTTTTCACCTTACTATGTTTGATAAGTACAGAGATGTTGGGGTATTTTAATTAGCCATCAGGCACTTGAGAATTATTATGTAGAAAAGCAAATTTTTTTCATTAATGCAGCAAAGGTGTATTTATATAAATATTTACCATTTCAGAATAATAAATTTCTTTGTTACTGGGAAAGGGTATTTATGGTTTGGAGCATTCCTTTGAAAGAAAAATGTACCCCAAATTAAATTTAAAACCACTTTGTTGTGTATCTACTTAAAGTTTAAATATTATTCTTAAGCTTAATCTATTTTTTTAATCCTTAAGAATGCAGGCACTATTTCATTTACTACTTTATGAAGACTCAGCTTTAGGCAAATCAGTGAGCTAAGCACTATTGCTATTCTAATCCATCAATAAAGGGAGAAGAATTTTTTCAATAGAACTGGGGATTTTATTGTTATATAATTAGTATTTAAATAATGATATAAAATTAAATAAAAGCAAATCATGAGTCTAAAATTTACTAAAATCAAAATATAATGACATTTTCTAAGTGCATATCCTAGATTTTATTTTAAAGTATAAAATGAATTTCAAGTTGTACAGATTACATAAAACTAGATTTAAATTCAGCTATAAAGTTAGCTGACCTTTAGAGAATACTTTGAAACAAATACTTCATGATTCAAAGCAAGGATTGCCATGAGACAATAACGCTAATAATTCAGTGTATGCCATATATTCTATAATGCATCATGGTATTTCTCTGCTGCTTTTGAAAACAGAACAGACTTTATAGGAAGATTGGGGTAGGGTACAAACAGAAGCAGAGGTGTGGTGGTGTGGTTATCTGGTTTCAGGGGAGATAAGGTTGAGGGAGACAATGCAGGAAGAGATGGCTCAAATTTGGGGCCATTTGGAGGGTTATACAGAAACAGTGCAGTGGAAATTTCCTGGAATATATGAAGGTGATCCTAATAAGATATTCTATTAATAGGGAATATGGAGGGAGTCTCAACTGGCTATCTCTTCTCTCTAGGTGAGGCTTCCAGTGGTGTGACTGGCTGTCATTAATTGTCCAAGGGGGTCCTATGGAAGTTTCCAAACAACCCAGGCAGTTACAAAGACAAAGCATTGATCTCCACAGACCAACATGGGGCCCCATTGCCAAGGACGACACCCACACAACTCATTGAACATGGAGAAGTCAAGTTGGCGCCTACATGGAATTTTCACACCTACTGTTTAGTCTTTTTTGTTCATGAGGTACTCTAAAGGCAACCAAAAGATAAATATGGGCACCAACCTAATGTGGGAAATTACCAATACGGAGTCAGGTAAAAATAAAAGGGAATTTAATAGGGGAAAGCAACCTAGTCAGCTGGCAGTAGTAAGTCCAGCAAGCCGAAGACAAAAGTGAAAGCAGGCCCGCAAGTGAGCTTCCCTCACTCTTAACCCTTCCTACATCACCCTGGCCATGCCCTTGAAGGCATAGTTGGGCACAACTGAAGCCAGCCCCTAGAAGGTGTGGCTATAGTATCCCTACAATTCCCCTTTTAATCTAAAAGAGGATTAAAACCTAACAGTTTAATGTATCCAAAATTAACATTCATAAAGGTGAAATATAAGAAGATACAACAATCTGCTTATGTCACATCCTAACTATGTCTATTTTAATTAAATCCTAAAGCCATCTGAAAGAGGTGTCCAAGCCTGAATTCCTCCTTCCAATCCCAACAACAAACAATAGAAAGCCAGCCCTAACTAGGTATATCAATAATGGGGGAAAAGGAGGGGGAGGGGGGGCTGAAAAAGTAGAAGCTGATGTACAAGATTCCGGAATAAACTGCTTGAAGAAGAGTCGTGGTTGTTTTTGAAATATGATGCATATATTTCAAATTTCCAAATTCTGGAAAGTGAAAGACATCCATCTGCCAAACCTCATTTCTTCAAATGCCCTTAGGATTACAACCTGCTGGCAATGGAGTTTGGTTATAAAAGGAACAAGTAGGACAGTTTCACACTATCTCCTTAGCTTGTTGCCAAGTGATGGAGAAGTCCTTTTTTAAACCTTAGCTATTTACATGATGTTTCTTATGAAATTCTGAGGCTTCTAGCACACTTCCAATTAATAAACGATCAATTTCATCATTGCCTTGTGCTAGTGGGCCTGGCAGACCCGTATGGGATATGCTATGTGTAATGTACATAGGATTACTTCTGTTTCTGATTGTTTCCTGTAATTGTTTAAACAGTGAAGATAATTCTGTATTATCAGGAACGAATTATGCAGTCTCAATGTGTAAGATGACTCTCTCTGCATATTGGGAATAAGTAACTATTTTAAGAGGTTCTATAAAATCCATAAGCACCATGAGAATTGCATATAATTCTGCCTTCTGTACAGACTTGCGGACTTTGAACTACTTTACTTACCTCACCTGCTTTACAACTTGCCTTCTCTGATTGGTTGGCATCAGTGTAGAAGGTAGGAACTCCAGAAATAGGAGTTTTTGTTACAATGCATGGAAGAATCCAGACTGTCTTTTTTATAAATTTAATTCTGTCAGTTTTGGGATAATTGTTGCTGATCATTCCCCCAAAAGTCAGAAAGAGCTATTTGCCAATATTCATTCTCCTTCCACAAGGAAGAAATTTCCTCATTAATTAAAGGTACTATAATTTCTGCTGGATCTTATCCAGTCAGTTGACAGAGTCTTAATTTGCCCTTTAAAATCAAATCAGAAACATTTTCTATATATGTCTTTAACATTTTATTCTGTTTATGTGGCAGAAATATCCACTCCAGTATGGTGTCATCCCTCTGCATCAGAATCCCAGAAAGGTATTCTCTGGATGGCAAGATAACCAGAACACAGTCTAAATTAAGGTTTATCCGATTTACATGCGCATCCAATATT